GTTATTACTGTCTTAGCGTTCTCTGATTTCTCTTCACATTTTATTTCCTCTTTATTTTTGTTCTCTGCTTGCCTTCTTTTTTTTCAAGGGAGCTTCTTTTTAAAAAACGAACCTAGTAAAACAACTAATTTTTGTAAATATATAAATAAATGTGAGTATTTCTGCTCAACAAACCGTTTTTTGGAGCTGTAAACACTTAAAGGCATGTGAAGAAACCTATCATCCCAATATATTGCTTCTATAGGAAATGTGCAACGTTCTGAAGTCAACATGATTTTTTTCTATATTTGTATATGTTATGTTGTAAAAAATACACACATCCTGAAACAATTTGTTTCGGTCGTTTCTAACTATTTTAGATTTCCTTATGCTTTTTTATATCCACACTATGGAAAAAGTACATGTGTATAAATCCGCAGCGCATAAATAAAACGCTAATTGTATAATTGAATTTTCTTACTGTTGTTAATAAATGACATTCTATTCACTCGTTTACTTATTTCCTGGTATCCTTCCTATGAAAATATGATATAAGTTTTAGAGTGACTTCCATAAATGAAGAAACAACAGCTTATAATTGAAAGTAAGATAATTTAAGGACCTTCTTGGCCAACTGTCATTCTTTTTCACATAACGAAAAAGAATATTTGCCGTAAAAGTGCGAAATCTTGAGAATGAAATTAAGCGTTGCAAACCCGACCGTAGCTGCTATCTTGATGTGGTAACCGAGCCTTCCTATCGTCATGAATCAACCGAGCAAAAACCAACTTGAAACATAAGGAGAAACATCGTTTGACATGGCAACCTCTACAATCGTCTCATCGATGGACTCAAATAGAGCACATTGCCATTGGTCATCATCGGAGTGGCTCGAATGAAGACTGTAGCTCATTTTGGAGCACGTGACCTGACTCGGATCATGCTCTAGCTCGAGCATGTGTTTTTGTGCGTCCAACTGGAACAACCAGAAAAAGTTATTCAACCGCATAAATGATATCCATCCAGGAGATTCACTTGTTGCCTTCAAATACGCAGATATAGTTCTCTTTGGCGAAGACGCTGATAAAATTCAGTTTTCTGACCATCTTAGGAACAATACGGCCATGCTTCGGATGCGATTTTGTCCCTCCAAATGTAAAATATTACTTCAGGATTGGCTTGCGTCATCGCCTGAATTAGTGATAGGAAGTGAAACAACTGGACGCACCGACCGCTTCACGTATAATTGGAGTCCCATTAGTACTGATAGTATGGTGTCTCAAGTCTCGATTGGATTTCGCCAACTTGTGGAGTGGACGAGATACTCGTTTATCAATCAAAGGACAAGTTTACTGCTGAACAGTTCACTTGATTCTATTTTGTGGATGTGGAACATGGCCACTTAGAGTAGAGGATATTCATAGTTCACTGGCATTCGATAATAGGTATCTTGGAAGGATTGCTCATGTGTTTCTGGACCACCCAGTAAGAAATATCTGAGTTAGGAATAGAGTACTAGGCAAAGATGTTAAACCGACTGATTAAATAGTAAATCTTCATCGACTGAGGTGATTGGGATGTGTTACGTATGACCAGCCACCTCCTAATTCGCCGGGCTATGTTTTCTGATGCAGGAGTAGACTGGAAGAAAGTTACATGGGGGACCAGACCGAAACATTGCATTTATTTGTGATAGCATACATGTTTCATTCTTTTTTGATTTTTCAAAACAACTCTGAATCACTTCAGGACCCAGACTCATCAGGTACCTTATTATTTCGCGTTTCGTTCGAATTTTATGGGCGGAGTATTTTGCTATATTTAGTTAAAAGATTTTCTCAGTTTTCCTAGATTCGTATACACATACGGAGTGCATGTCATGAAGCATATATGCTTAACAGTATTTCTTAACAAGGTGCACATAATTCGGTAGTGAATTTAAAGCTCGATTATAATGCATGCTCAAGTTGTTAGTTCACGTCTCTCTTGTGAATGAAGCATTAGTAGTTGGTCTCACCAATTCAGATTACTTTAACCAGGATGAGAGTTATTTGACTACGTATCGTGCTTAGAAAGTTACAAACTGTTATGATATTATCAAAAATTGAACGTATGCTAATTCATTATTGATTTTATGTCCGGCTTTTATCATGTGAATTATCCACCTATCGAAATACGACTTTACTAATCTTAACACTATACCAAATCAATGACGTTCAACTGGTATGAGCAGCCTTATTGGTCCTTTGTTCTCCTAGCCCTTTCAATCCAGTCCAGAACGCCAATAACAACTTCCACTATGCGAATCGTTTATTTCAAACATACTTAGTTTATATACCAGCCAAACAGACCGCATCACACCATAAAGCAGAAAACAATATTTGTACAACATCAAGCCAAATGTGGGGGACAGTAATTAATAAACTGAACATAATTTAAGAACAGTAAATCGTACAACAATAATCTATGGGTCAAAATGAAGCTTATATTAAGACGAATATAGATATACATAATCTAGTTACTGAACAGTTATAAAATAGAAATATATATAATATTGGTCCATTAATAGTTCGCAGAAGTTACCCGTAGCTTAATCTTCATTAGGATATGTCCTTTACCAGTTATTATGAAACTTGATAGCGTACCGCCTGATCTACAAATAACTAAGTAGTCATCTGATATAAAAAGAAGTTGAACTAGAAGGTTTGTGCTGATGATGTCGCTCAGAAGGACGATGAAAGCTCCAAGACCAAACCAGCCAGCTCAAAGAACAAAACTTCATCTAAATCATCCACCTGAGCTACAAATCTTCTCCACAATCTCAAAGGTTAATCGTCTTTTATATATATATATATATATATATTTCGGTTAGATAAGTCGCTGGTTATCAAATTAAGTATCCGAAAACAACCAATTACGGCATCATATTTCAGTTGGTAATTTAGTGTTAGCTACATCATGCTACCGATTACTTTTCACGTTACTTTGACTAGGTAATTTATGCTCTTTTATATACGCATCCCGATCGTGCTTAGTTTGTAATTTTTTTCCCAAACTCCGATTTTTCGGTCAACGGATTACGACTCAAACCACCTAGTATCTTATTTACTAACCAGAACCATACTTTACGTTAATATACAAATATTGTGTCCTACAGTCACATGAGTGATAAGTATCGACTAAACAATACTAGCTGCTCAGACTGGCTTGTTTCAACTAAAGTCTAAATTAAGGAGAGATTAATTAACTTTTTTCTTATGATGGACGAGTACGAAATTCGGCAGTCAAAGTGAAATCACGTTGGCAATTCGGTCGTGTAACTGTGAATAGAGTACTAAAAAGGACATTAGGAGAATCATGTTACAGTCGAAGTCCCTTATTAATATTATTCGTATTATAATGGGCAGTCTGCTTAAACATCTGGGGCACCTGTTCCCGTCATCTAGATACCTCAACAAGTTATCTAATTTTATTTGTTTTAATACATTATTATGGCTATTAATCGCACAACCTATTCAAATGCGTTTTTGAGAAGTGTACAACCTTTCGCTGTAAAGGTTACAAAAGACCTAATCAGAGATATCGTGGTTGCCGGCAATATGGGGTGAAAAGAATGTACATTATTCAAACGTCGATTGATTGGACTGCTAACTTCTAGCTGGCGATCATTCAATATTTATCGTCAGGATCGATCAAGAAGTAAAAAACGGAAACTTGTTGAAATACTTTGTGCTGAGAATTCTATATTGTACCAAAAACATAATATTGAATTTTATTTATTTAATCACATACATATTGGTACAAAGGGCACCGGATACATATGCGCCATAAAGCTAATAATAATAAAAATAAATAATAATTATCTACGTATAATTGTAAATACTTTTCTCTATTACCAATGTAAAGCTTGTATCGCTTAGCTTTTATTGTTCCATTGAGATTCATTATGTTTATTTTCCTTGCCCCCCCTGGTATGGCCGACAGTGGTTAGAGTCCGCTCTACCTCTCCAAATGCTCTCACACTCACTGCCACCTCGTGGCCCCGGTGTTGTCTACGAAATTGAGAGGACGAAAAGCCAATGTCCGGCGCTTTAACCGGGTTGGTGGACACGCAAAGTTCACCTAGAGGAGTTGGAAAGCCCTGATTCCAAACCAATGGTGCACATGTGCTCCAGTATCCTGAAGGAACGAATGGCGTACGAACCACTTGTTGGTCACCGGCTACCATGGGAATGCATCGCCTCACCAAGCTCCAATGCCTTGTGGATCAGACCCTTAGGTCGAAGGCTCCGAGTGTGGCCCCCCTAACAAAACCACCTGCTTCAGTTTGGGCACCTGAGCAGTATCACAGCCCTCACGCAAATCTCATTTGATTTGTGTGGCGCATATGTATCTGGTACCTGTTTGTACGAATATTTATGTGTATAAATAAATAAATAATTATTTTCCTTAACAGCAAATGTGCATTTTAATTTAACCAACTTTACGTATATATACGAACATTCGTCATTATTAGAACGAATAGTTTGACGAAAATTGGGCGCCGAGTAAAAAGAGGACATCATATGTGAAAATTATATTTGAAATAATCACGGCGATTGAAACTAAACGTTTTGATTTCGATTATTACCCTGAAGAAGCCCAGACAAGTTTGTCGGACGAAGCGTAATTATTCATATTTCGACCGTTTCGTGGATGCGCACTGCTGAGAAGTCCCATAATAGGACGAAACGGCCTTCCAGTGCTTCCAGGTTTTCGATGGTGGTCTAGCTTCAATTGACCCATGATTTCAACTATGAAAATACTTTTAAAAGTATCTTACAAAAAACATACTGTCAAATCAATTTGAAAAAAATTAATATATTTTACGGTAAATTAAACCTTATACAATTAAATTTTCATCCTTTTTTTAAATACATGATTGAAAATCAAAAATATTGAAAAACATTTTGAGTAATTCATTAAGAAAAATCAACGAAAAATTGAAGAACTATACAGATTTTATTTTGAAATGATAAAATTTAAAGTTTCTTAAATTTCAGTCTAAATTTACCAGCAGTTGATCTCTGTATAAAAAAAGATAAAGTAAGAAACAAGTAATGGCATAGGTAATATAAACTGTCTGAAACCAATTTGATCAGATAGTATATATAAAGTTATATGCTTAGTTTGTAGGTAATATCACCAGTGTATGATTTGATTATTTCAAATAGACTGAAACACTGGGTAACTTGTCAATAACAAAACTAATCATATATCTATAATATCCCAGTAAGTAAAAAAAAATTAAATTTCTAACGTTTCGTAACCAGTGCAAGTCCATTCTTTATAGAGTAAATAAAATATGTCACTACATACATTGTTATTAATAGTGTTTCGCTCTCTGTTATTCAATTTCGAAACACGAATATCGTAAAGTGTTTCACTAATTATTATATAACCTATATACTAGCCAATCTAAAATTCAATAATACATAACTACCTAAATTCGAAGGAAGGCATGATATAGAAACTTCACCAGACTGACAATGAGAAGATCCATTACATTTTTTTACCCTACAACTAAGATCTTATGAATCCAAAATCAAAAATTCACTACAGAAGTAAAAAAAAGTATACTTACCTTTGGATGAGGATTAACTTCTTGACAAATAACGTAACGTTGCTGAAGAGGAGCTATTCGTTCAACAGCTTCAGATTCACCATTACTTTCATGATCTCGAATTTGCACGAATTTGATAACTATAAGTAAACCAATTACATTTAAATATAGTTTAAAATGATACAAAAGATTTGTAGCTTAAAAAGACGCTTTTGATATTGGTGTATTTTCTGGAATGAAACCACGTAATACTGCCAATTTTTATTTTTTTATTTATTTATTTAAACACATAAATATTGGTACAAAAAAGCACTAGATAAATATGCGCCTCACAAATCTCATTTGATTTGTGTGAGGGCTGTGATACTCCCCAGGTGCCCAAACTGAAGCAGGTGATTTTCTTAGGGGACCACACCCGGAGCATTTGACCTAAAGGTCTAGTCCACAAGGCAGTGGAGCATCGTGAGGAGATGCAGTCCCATGGTAGCCGGTGATCAATGATTGATTCGTACGCCATTTGTTCCCTCAGGATACTGAAGCCCATGTGCACCATTGGTTTGGAATCAGGGTTTTCCAACTCCCCTAGGTGGATCCTCCACATCCACCAACCCGGTTCAAGCGCCGGACATTGGCTTTTCGTCCTCTCACTTTTGTGAAGAACACTGCCAATAGTTTGGAACATATTGAACTAATGTCATCATTAGTTGTACTAATCGCTTACAGATATACACATTAGTTACTTCTGGATCACGTAACTACAATCATTAGGAAGTCAGCAATAAGCATTTCCAGTAGCAGACTTACCAAATAGTTTAGACTAAAATCAACTGATTAGTAATTCAATATCAGTTCTGTATATTGTGAGGTGGGAACCTTAGGTAAAAGCGATTTCCATACAGTGGATAATCCACAGGTTAAATGCATATATATGAGAGCAAACAGTGTCGCTTTATTCATTTTCCAGTGTTCATCATCAATTAGCCAAATTATTATTAAGCAATGAACAGGGCTTTATCAAGTTAATCTAATTGAGATATACAATAAGAAACTTATTTTTACTTTCTCCTTCTCTCTTTATATATATATCGAGTAAATTGACTGTTGATGCCTGAAATCCATTGGAATTTAACTAACAGAAAATATTATCAGAGCGTAGTTGTGGAGACTACTGAAATTTAGTGAGATCTCAATAGTAAATATAAATTTATTACAAAAGAAAAATAAGACGATATGATCAAGTAGAATGACATGAAATTATTACCTTTCGATGAACGTAGCTGAGCTATTTCTTCATCAGATTCACATTTGCTCTTTAAGCTACCACCGCCAGCATGAATTATAGGTTCATCTTCAGTCTCATCAGTAAATTTAAACTATTTTTAATTGCATTTTTTGAAAAAGAAAATAAGAATTTAGATAATATACTAAACCATCACATTTTATGTAACGATTCGAAAAAATACGTACACCTAACTACAGTTATATCTCTCTCTAATTTAAGGTGTTATTTAATTTTACTGTATGTTGTAAAATATTTAAATTTTTCGACAGATTAATTTACCGATCTATTCTGCAGAATGAAGAAGCAGAATGTCAGGTTTAATGTAATAGTTTATATGATATGTATATGACTTTGACTAACTCATAGATGGACCATAGATAACCAAAATCTAACATTTGTTTGAGACATATTTATTGCAATAACCGTGATCAGTAGCAAGAAGTGTTTGGTAACATGGATGAGCATCTGTCACAGTGATGCAGAGACATTCACTATTTTCCGCCAGCTTTTCAAAATCTATATTACTTCCCACTCTTGATCCATTTAATTTATCCTTTTTCCAATTATTGCTTACAGTGTTTAATTAGTAACTGCTTCGGTTTGGACGCCCGGAGAGTAATGCAGTACTCACAGAAATCGAATAATTTGCGTAGCGCATATATATATATATATATATATATATATATATATATATATATCGTGCTTCCTTGTACCAATGTTTATGTGTTTAAATGAATAAATAAGTACCTCTCAGAAGTAATTGTAGTTCCTGAGAAGATTGTCAACATTATCCAGAACTCATACTGTTGTGAACAAGACTGGGGACAATCGAATGTATTAAAACACAAATTACAGACCATCTCACTAAATTCTGATAACCATACAGTAAACAGTTTATTTGCAAAATAACAATCAATTGTTTCAATCTTAACTGTTCCTTCTGCAAATATCAGTCCGTCTTCTCTGATTTCATTGTTCACGCATATATATTCGTACCGATTGCGCTTCATTCCTGTTCGTTCCTTATCGATCTTCTGCCAAAATACATTCTATGTCTGACCATCACCATATACTACTTGTGTGGATATAAGTAGACCACACCGCAATACGACGGACTACAGAGCAAAGTCGTGCATGGAGGACAGCTGACAGATGTATTTCCAGTAAGGACCGCAGTCAGACAAGGCTGTCTACTCTCCCCATTCCTCTTTCTTCTGGTGATTGACTGGATTATGAAAACCTTGACATTTGAGGAGAAGCACGGAATACAATGGACATCTCAGAATTAAATGAAAGACGATTTGGACTTCGCAAACGATCTAGCCCTCCTATCCCATACACACGAACAAATGCAGACGAAGATAACTAATGTAGCAGCAGTCTCTGCATCAATAGGCCTCAACAAACACAAAGGAAAAGCAAGATCCTTAATATACAGCACAGAGAACACCAACCCAGTCACACTCGATGGAGAAACTCTGTAAAAGATGAATACCTTCACGAACTGCTTCGTTTGTGAATAAGGAGGGTCTGATGCAGATGTACAGGCGAGGATTGGCAAATCAAGAACAGCAATCATACAGTTTAAGAACATATGGAACTCAAAACAACTCTCAACTAATATCAAAGTCAGAATCTTCAATACGAACGTCAAAACAGTCCTACTGTACGGAGCTGAAACGTGAAGAACTACTACAACTATCGTCAAAAAGGTACATGTATTTATAAACAGCTGTCTACGCAAAGTACTCAACATTCACTGGCCGGATACTATTAGCAACAGCCTTCTACGCAAGAGGACAAACCAGCTTCCAGCTGAAGAGGAAATTAGGAAAAGACATTGGAAGTTGATAGGACATACATTGAGGAAATCACCAAACTGCATCACGAGGCAAGCCCTAACTTGGAACCCAGAAGGAAAGCGGAAAAGAGGAAAGTTAAAGAACAGATTAAGCCGGGAAATAGAAGCAGATATGAAAAGGATGAATAACAACTGGAAAAAAACTGGAAAGGATTGCCGAGGACAGCGTCAGATGGAGAATACTGGTGTGAAGCCTATGCTCCTCCAGGAGGGGTAACAGGCGTAAGTAAGTCTCAGAAGTAATGTGGTTAACGATGGTACCATTTTATTACGCGTAAACATTATCCTGAGGTGAACATATAAAACGCAAGGTTGGGTACAGGCTGAACAATTTAAGCAACCAGAAAACATTAAGACAAAATTATGGACAGTAATAATAATAATGAGCAATAAATGTATATATTTACCTGATCAAAATCAGCACTGCAAACATGGGTCATCACTACTGAAGGACTGGTAGAAACTTTACAACCAATATTAATTTTTACATCCTTTTCTAAAGGCAACTGAGATGAAACCTTTAAAAATATATACATAAAAAGTATAAACAAATTTATTGCCGAGCGTTCTAATAAATTATAATATGAAAAAAAACTTAAAACAATGATGTTTGATTAAACTGTCATTTTATTTTGAGTGCATAAGGTTCTTTTTTTTGAAACTTTTTAAGCTCCAATTTTGTGAATTTCACAGTCATGTATTTAGACACGAGAATTTGTAAAATTTCACTCAATGCGATATATTATCTCCAATTATCTCTTTTTAAAAATTCACGTATGTATAAATTACATAATATTCAGTTGAGAGGGTGGATAATTCGGTTGTACTGGCTCAATAATTATTGACAGGCTTTTCTAAATATCAATTAATGGAGTTGGCGTAATAAATGTGGAGAACTTCTCAAGTTTGTGATCAAGGTATTTGAAATGTTACAACTCAGTAATTTTAAAAGCTGGGCTCTACCCAGCTTCAATGACTCTAAAATTCCTTAAGATTTTATCTTTTAAAATCTATTAAATCCGTTTCATCTTGTTCGCCAGTTAGATATTTTGCTTATATTAACACAGTTCTTTTGTGGTGCTATATTGGCTTGAGCTGTACGTACTAGTTAGAGTAAACAACTGTCCATCTAATTTTTAATAAACTTCTTACATGAATATTCGCATTAGGACAGGAAATTTTTTAAGTGAAGTAATTCTTAAAAATTTGAATTCAGTCTGATTCAGTAACCAGTAGTTTTATTTTCTAAGCCTTCAGCCGAATCTATTGCATGAAATCAAGTGATAATGTTATCCAGGTGTATAAATAAAATTAGATGAGGTCATACTCAGAACCAAAGTAGAGTTATTTGAAAATCAAGCGCTTTGCAACCGCTGTTATTGAAAATAAATATGTAAATAATACACAACTTTCACAGAACAACTAATCACATCTTCATTTCAAACAATAGTTTTATTTTACTTAGAGCAATAACTCACCAAATATATAATTATGGCTAACGACAAGGAGAACAGACAAACCTACCTGGTGTTAGCCTGGAGCAATCGAGAAGTACTCTTGTAACATGCTCTCTACTCGACTAGTAATTTATTATAAACTTGAAATCAATTGTTTGACTGAATCATATGTTTGTTTTCAACCACGAACTATATTGTCTATCATTATTTCGATATTTTCAAGACAGATAAAGCTCAACACTAATAGTCTTCAGTACTCTAACTGGAACTTTCATCGAGATTATGTTTTTACATTACAACCATTAGCGATGATTTTTTAGTAAGTTTGTAAACTAACATACTTTGCCAAGTAGAATTCATGACAATAACCTAAATTATTTAAGTTTATGTACTCGGCTTTGAGTGACAGTATTTACATACGGATCAGTGACACGAGCTGGCTAAACGAACTGTGGTAGAGAAAGTGTGGTTCGAACCTTCAACCACTTCGGTAAAACCTTAGTGCTCTAACCAATTTGTCACTGATTTACATTCTAAGATTAAGGTATGGGAATTCATGTAAGTAGTTAAAAACTAAAATAAATTGTGCTTAATATGTAAAAAAACAAATAAATAAAACTACTATCAGTACTTACGCATCTTTTTGTTTGTTTACTGGCGGACATAGATATACGTTTCGAAGACAAACTGGACGTCCTCTTACCATTTTTAACAGGATTTCCGAAGTTACCCCGATAAGAAGGTGCTGAACTAACAAGCGGGTGACTTCTCCGAAGTGTTTTTGAAACAGGTTCGCGAGTAGGAGACGGTTTAATTTCACCAGGAATAACAGGGTAACCAGAAACTTGGGAAATTGGATCAACATTTGGTTTGAGATCTTCAGTTTTGACGCAAGTTGTCCGATCAGATGGTATACCACTGGAACGACGAAGTTGCCGTGGAGCATTTACATCAATTGTCTCAGCTCCTGGGACTGAAGAAACCTCTTTCGTACAAAATGAGCACTGCCTAAATAAAGTTCATGCACAACAGCATATAAAGAATTAGATATTTTCTTAATTTTGAAAATAAAGCAATGGAAATAGAAATACATTGAATCCTATCTACATCAAGGACATCTTAAGGCATATTTTAAATTTTGAGGATCTGAGTATTTTACTAACAAAGAAATAATACTGCATTGAACCACCATCCAAAATTCTTAATTTGGAGAAATAAGCTATCACTTTGCTATTCATTGACCATCATACACTGGTTATCATTGAGTTTAATCTGCCTTAAAGGCCATAATATATCAAAATAAATTAACTAATTTGAAAGTCCGGTTATATTCATCCTACATTCTTAAATATGTATTTGATACACATGAATAAAATTGTATGGTTCATGGTAATAGTTGGTTAATTCAACAAACCTCGTATGCATTGAAGGCATTAAACTAGGTAAACGAGATAATAACGAAAATACCATTTTACATAAAATTAGAGGACACCAAACATAAGTCAGCACTCAATATCTAGTAGCGAGAATATAGTAACGGTTTGAACAAATGACTTTTAACTTCAAAGACAGTTTCAAACCGCAACTCATCTATTCCACTTTATGGAATCAAGTAGCGTTTCTAATGCTTAGAAGGTTGCATCTTAAAACCTAATTAAAGCCCCGTATACTTAATTGAAACTAAACATAAAGAATAGATTTTAACACTAGAACAATCAGTCAGTCACAACAAAGGACTTTGTACGTACGTACACCAGTTCGAGTTGCCATACCACATTAGCACAGAGATGCAATTGCCGATTCAAATCCCATAGTGGTAGAAGTAGTAAGAGTATAAAACAAGTATAATAACAAGTACAAACAAGTACAATAAGAGACATCGTGGTGGTTGGCAATATGCTTTAAAGAAAATAAACATTAATCAAATGTCGATTCCCGAGCTGCTTAATTCCAACTGTCGATCACTAATTAACAAGATGGACTATCTCCAATTTCTGCTAAGTCAAAACATGTATCGTAATTGTGGTGTCATCACAATTCAAGAATCTTGGTTAACTGACTTACAGGATGATAGCCTAGTATCATTACGTGATCTTAATATCTATCGTCAGGATCGATCAAACAACAAAAAGACTTGCGGTGGCGGAGTAGCTACTTTTGTAAACGTTAACTGGTGTCGATCTACTTTTGCGTGTTTCAAGTTTTCAAATGACTTTATTGACTGTCTAACTTTAAGGTGCCGTCCAAGACACCTGAATAAATACAAATATATTTAAGTTACCAATATCTACATGACTCCAGACTGCACATCATCTGCGCTATCTGTCTTCGTTGATAAATTTACTGAATTCGCCGTTACTGCCTTCAGTGGTTCACTTTCAATTGTATGTGGTGATTTCAATTCATGTGACTGTAGTTTCCTTACATCACTAGGTAACCTAAATGTAGTAGATTTTCCTACTCGTTTGAATGCTCATCTAGACTTGGTTTTCATTAATGATGTGGGTACATATGTGACTCGCAAACGTGCTCCATTGTCTAGTTCGGATCACTGTATAATTCGTGTCCTACCTAAAGTATATGGTAAACATGGAAAGAGTACACACATACACCATACCAAAAAAGTAATATATAGGAATTACTCAGAAGAAAATTTACAAAATCTGAAAACCTTTTACGTATGACCAACTGGGAAGTATTTACAGATGACTCAATAGAAAACACAACGGATGTTATCACCTGTTATCTTAAATTCTGTTTTGATATTTTCTGTCTTACCGAAACCTTCTTTTTAAGTTTTGATCGACTTACATCTCCACAACTAAAACGACTACGGAGGGTAAAAGAAAGGACGTACAACGAGAAAAACACTATTGAAGTTCGTAAGTTAAATGGTCAAATAAACCAAGAGATTAGACGTCTCAACTCTGTGTTTACTCAGAAACTCCTATCTTGTAAAAGCTCTCCAAGTATGTGGAAACTCTTTGAAGAACTTACAGGTGACAGGCAGATTGTAAGCGTGAACCAGCTGAATGTTTGTGACTTAAATAAGTCCTTTATTCGTCAGTCATCTGACATCATGTATATATATATATATATCCAAGGGTTTGAAGAATAACTGTGTCCCCAGTTTCACTGAAAATGATGTACGGCAATGTCTCCAGTCTCTGAATTCATCCCAATGTTTAGGACCTGATGGTATCCCAAACCTCCTTTTAAAAAATGTGCTGATGTTTTATGTTATCCATTAACCAATATCTTTAACAGATCCTTCTCAACTAATGTCTTACCGAAAATGTGGAGAAAGATAAAGGTAATCCCTATACCTAAGAAAGCTTCTGGTGATAAAAATGTGAAACTCAGACCCATAGCAATAACCTCACCTTTCCTCAAAATAATGGAAAAATTACTGATACAACCACTTCAACATGCAATAAAAGAGCACTATGATCCATATCAGTTTGCTTACAAATGCAAAAGAAGCACATTAGATGCCGTTGCTGTTCTGCATCACAATATAGTGTTCCGGTTGGAAAAGGGTAAGAAGTATGTTAGATGCGCTTTCCTGGACTTTACCTCTGCTTTTGATTCTATTTCAAGACACCTCTTACTTAACAAGCTGATCAGCATCGACACTGACAGCTGGATAACCAATTGGCTACGTTCCTACGTTTCTGGAAGAGAACAGTACACTGTATTTGAAGGAAAGTGTTCAACATCTCTATTGTCTACTGTAGGTGTGCCACAAGGAGCTGTTCTTTCACCTCTGCTCTTCTCTTTCTTCCTGCATGATCTGCCATCTTCCACAGAAAACACTTTTGTAAAATATGCGGACGACCTCGCTGTATGTATGCCGATTTCTACCTCCTTACATCCTATAGAAATGAATGAGTTTTTGTCTTCTGGTAGAACGAGACGTAAATACATTAAAGTCCATGCACGCAAGCAAATCTATAAAAGTTATGTAATACCTTACCTAGAAAATGTACTTTGTGACGAACAGGCTGTTAGAGTTCACCTAGTAAATAACCTGTATTCTTAAGCATGTCTCAAATTCGATAATTTGTATAAACTCAGATTTTCTTAAACCTTTTTTTATTTCTGTTCTGTTTTTTGTTTGTTTTGTTTCTTTTTTGGTAAAAAAAAACTTGTTGTTGTACCAGATAATAATATTGAATAAAGCCATTAATAATAATAATAATAATAATAATAATAATAATAATAATAATAATAAGCATTATGTGAAAGATTAGGGTTTGAAGATGTTATTCAAGGAATATAATCCAGCGAAATAAATTTGAAAGCAGAAAAAAGATAGGGACATGAAGAATTCAGAGGATTGGAATTTGGCAGAGCACAAATAGTGAATGCACCTTCGTCATTGCAAACGATCTTGAGCCATATCATTCAAGGTCTCTAACCATCAGTTGTTATCATCTCGCGGATCCCAACCAGGTAGTCTACACCTACCAACATGGCTCAGTCCACTTATCAATGACTTCATGGATTTGTGACACGTTCTGGTCTGATCGCCCCTAGCTTTTTCCCACCCTATTCCTACACCATAAAACATCGCACGTCGGTGGTTGGGCATACGTAACAAGTGTCCCAGCCATCTCCACTGATGAAGTCTCCCTACCTCATCAATCGATTTACCATTCTGACCTAGTACCTGTTTCCTAACAACTGCATTACTTACTCGGTGGTCTCAGGATATACGAGCAATGCTTCGGAGACACCTATGATCGAATACTAACAGCCTACGAATATCCTCTACTCTTATCGGCCATGTTTCACTGCCATAAAGTAGGACGGAACGAACTGCTGCACAGTAAACCCGTCCTTTGGTTGCTAGACGGATATCTCGCCTACACCATAAATGACGCCAGTTGGCGACAGCTAGACGAGCCTTCAGTATCCGTGCTGAGATTTCGTCACACACCAGACCACTAGGGCTGATGGGACTCCCAAGATACGTGAAGCGGTTAACACAATCAATTACTTCACTCTCTATCATTAGTTCGAGTGTCGATGCAACCCAATCCTGAAGTAACACTTTGTATTTCGAGGGGAAGAATCGCATCCTGAACACGCCTGTATTGTTGCTTATAGTGGTCAGAAGACTAAAACAATGATCGACTGGCTAGGGAAATAATGACAATGACGATAAAATGTGAAGAAACAAACAGTGTAGGACACATACATCATAATTTGTTGTAGTCAGAAGCGATGACACACCACAGAGCTTACAAATAATTGGAAAAAAAGGAAATTAGACTTACCAACCGTAAAGTTTACTACGTTTTGGCATACGTAGCAATGGAGGATCAAGACATGCCAAATGAAATGCCTTTCCACATGTATCACAACTTGTAATTAAATGTTGATCCTGAAGTCCGTGACATATCATACACCTATAAAAATAATATAATAAAATTCAACGGATGAGTTTTTGTATAAGTCCTTAATAAACGGCAGTCAGTTGCATAAAACGCTTGTTTATTTGAAAAGAATTTCAAAGAAAATTTGATAACTGATTACAAGCACAAAAATGTTAACCATTTTACGTATAGCTGCAAACATAACGTTGATTAATTTAAATTTGTGTTGACTATGGTAATGTTGCATTATTATTACAATAAGAGAAAACGCTGTGGTAGGTTGTTACTAACACAAACGATGTAACGACTATTAAAGATATTGAGAGGATTACTGAAAAAGTAACGATAAATCTAATGTGGAGACATGAAAAATATTTGTCCTGTGCAGAACGATCAATGACGGATGTTTCGGAAAAATAATTCGATCATTCAAATCAATACAATAATATCCAGATGCCGAAAATCAGTTGCAATTTTGACAAGCACGTAAATCGTCACGTGATTTACTACTGAATTAACGAAAGCGCTGACCATTGCTATGCAATCCAGTCAAGTTTCTCAAACCTGATGAATCGTTTTTATCCATATGTTTTTCATGAAATTATTTCTCTACGAAAATTGCACATGATGTCCAATTTTTGTAAGTTTACAACATAGCATAATCTGAATACAGTATCACCATACTGTAACCTGAGTTAAAAAGAAGATAAACTGAACATGGATGAAAGATTAGTTACCATTACGAAAAAAGGAAATCATATGAGAAAACAAAATACAAGAACGTCAGTGAATAGGGGACGAATATCTATAGTCCCTAAAAAAATGCAAAATTTAGGCTCACGATGAATGAGTTGTGTGATCGCCAGGGTCCCAACCAATGAGACTCCTAAATATTAGAAAGATTGATACAACCTAGCAGTGCTTCATATTGCTTAACCCCTATGTTATAAATATAGCTTAGTTTACATAATAAAGTATTCAAAAATGTTTTTTTAAACTAGACTTAAAAGTCGTTGATGAACAAGAACTTTACAAACTTACTCTAATATCACATTTTCTGATTCATACGTGACAATACTTGAACACTTTTCAGGGTGTGAAGCCGTTGAAATGTCTAGTGACTTTGCATTTTGATCAACTGCCTCAGATTTTGAAGCTTTTCGCAATTTACATGGAGATGAACGGTTGCCTCTACGCTTTGAGGCAGCAATAACTGCTGAAGAACCAAATTTGACGGTCTTGTTGGAGTCCACTGGATTAGATAATGAGCTCAGGTCAAAACTAGTTGTCTCTGGAAGGCGGCGAGGCTCTGCTAAGATAGTTTCTAATTCCGACGAACATTTTAGTTCCTATTGACGTAAATAAAAACCAAGCATAAACACCAAAAAGAGAACTTGTAAGTTGTTAGACCATAATTATGTCATAATACGATACATTCAACACGTCCTGTCATCTGAAAGTCGCTATAATAGAGTCAATCATGATGTGTGATACAAACATGACATCATGGGGATCTGATAGGTTCCATCTCTTAAAAGCTCATTCGACAGACGCTTGGTGCTTAAACTTATCCACGTTACTGAGTTTTAACTCTATAATATATAAGTAGGCGCTTGCGCACGAGACTGATAGGTCTTGGGTTCGAATCTCGCGAGGTGGGATCGTGGATGCGCACTGATGAGGAGTCCCAACGACAGGTTTAAGATCAACAAGAACCAATCAACATCGAGGTCTACAGGATAAGCTGTGAGCCACATGTGGAGAAATTCGAACACTTCACCTCTACCTGAAGTTTGTGCTGGTGGCGTCGTTCAGAAGAAGGGTGAAAGCTCCTAGACCAAACCATCCAGCTCAGAAAACAAAACTCCATCAAAATCATCCACCTGAGCTAAAAATCTCCACCACCTCAATGCGAAGTGCGTATAATAAAAGAACAACGAACAGAAATTAGTGTATGAGAGCGAAATAATAATAATAATAATAATAATAATAATAATAATAATAATAATAATAATAATAATAATAATAATAATAATAATAATAATAATAATAATAATGGGAGAAACAGTCCACTCAGCAAAAATATAACCAGAAAGAATTCTTCCAATTAAAAATGTTACGTTCATTTTTTATGAAGTAAAAACCGTAACAGCAGGATCGCCACTGGCCTCTATTCTCAGTCATGTCTGATAACGTCTCTAGCTACTGTGTTGCACCATCTCTCGTACCCCAGCCAGGGAGTTGTGAAGGACCAACAGAAGCCAGCCCTTTGAAACTTTCTTTCATATCACGACATGTCATACACTGACTACCTCTCCGCTTTTCCTAACCAGTCTCAGCATCGGCAAATAATTCACGACGAGGAATTCTCTGGGACGACATTCGTAGAACATGTCCAAGCCATCGAAGACGATGTTTCAAGATAACGACAGCAACTGAATCATTGTCGCTGCCCGAACACACGATTCTGAGCATCTGTATTACCAACATGGTGTTGCCACTGGATGTCAGCAATCCTTCGAAGTCAACGATAGTCAAATACAGAGAGTCGTCTAACATCCTCAACTCGGAGAGACCAGGTTTCACAGGCATAGAACAAAACTGCCCTCACCAACGCGTTTTAGATATGACCTTTTACAGCCAGACTAACATCACAACGGTGCAGTATCACAGTCCTCACACAAATCAGATAAGATTTGTGTGGCGCACATGTATCTGGTGCCCCTTTGTACCGATATCTATGTGTTCAAATAAATAAATACTCAGATACACGAATTTCTCGACTAATTCTATCCGCTCACTACCGAAGATGAACGCAGGATCAGGGTCCTGCCAGTCCTGTAAAAGTACTTTGCACTTTGAAGTGCAAAGCCCATACCATATGTACAGACACTAATTGCCAACTTAGTAAGTGCGGATCGCATGGCTTGGGTACCATCACACAGTAAGACAATATCATTCGCCTGCTCAAAGTTGAAAACTCTTTCTCCAAGCAACAGATCCACACAACCATTACCTACATCCATCAGAGCTGTTTCCAGAACGTCATAGACCGCAAAGTTGAAGTGGAATGGTGAGAGTGAGCAACCCTGCCTAACCCCGCGTGTTTATTGGAATTTTATTTTTACTAACTTGTTTACCCGGTACATATTTGTGTGCTTGAGTAAAAACCACACTGTTAGGACTGGTAATACTATTTTGTTTCCCAGAACGAGGTAGATCATGGTCAAAACTTATGACTTGGTGACTAAAAGTCAAATCCCTTAACCACTAAGTCCCCGGTCTACACTCTGTATATAAATAGAATCAGAAGATATGAAAAAAATTCATTTACGAGAAATTATAGTAAGTGAAACTTGGAAGGATTAGAAGTGTAAACTAACCGGAATTAAACTACGGAGAGAGTTTATGATATGGACGAATTTCGCACGCAAGCTTCCACGGCTACTGTTTAATTTTTCTAACTCCGTTGAAACCTAAAAAAAATTCACAAGGTTATGACAAATTTCGATTTTGGGCTTACTGAATTATGAATAATTACAGCAATATAGTACAAATCTTACCGAATTATAACTATGTGAAGCACTAGCATCTGATATTTGTAGTTCACGCTGCGTATTTTGTAAGGTAGCAATAAGTTTTGAAACTTCAGTAATTTTCCTTTCACGCTCTAAACGAAAAGAATCAAGGTTGCAACGAAAGTCACACGAAATAAGCAGATTATCAGACTGTTGTGTACATAAATACTGACAATTTCTGGAATGAAGAACTCACCTAAGAAATAAGATACGAAATCTGGAGTGAAAACTGGATAACTAGGTGTTGGACCTTTTGATGAATCTGCGTTGGACATATGATTTGATAGTTCAATAGGTAGATTAAGAGCTTTAGCCTTCAACACAAACATTCTCATTGCAACGGGAGAGGTTTCCAAAAACATTGGCGTTTTCACAAGTGGAACTATAAATATAATTAGATAGTTTATATGAGGGTGATCTTGGAATAAATCAGAAGATAATATATGCATATGAAGACTTCAAGGTTCCTTTGTCAGATTACAACACTATTTCATCTAGGACAGTCTAAATTAGGTTACGGCTAAAACTGGTCTGAGAACTCAGCATTTAAGTAAGGGTTTCGGATCCTAGTAGTCTGAATTTCGTCTAGTCAGGAAGTCAAACGCACGGTGGAACCACGTATATATGTACATAGATTCAAATTGATGCACTCCATTAACATGGAGAGATGAAGTTGTTGGACCAAACCCGAAATTAGCAGAGGTAGGGACAATATTAGTTATGTTAGTGTTAGTGGGATATAGATTGGATTAAGCATGTTTTATGCATGATGGTGTTGCTGCGCGCTGATTGGTTAATTTTAAACCGATCAGCCCGGGCATATTATTGCAGAAAAATCCATAAGCTTCTTATGTATATACTATAAATATATGAACATTATTTAAACTATTGATTGCTGTTTACTTATTATTATTATTTTGAATACAATTTCATTCCTGTTCAACGTGTTCTGATTTTGGGGTCTCGTTGAGTGTCATCGGATAAGAATACTAAGCAATAGGAATAGCTGGGTCGTTTATATAGCAAAAATTACAATTATAACACTTAGAGAAGATTAGGCATCAAAGATACTATTCAAATTAATGAAACAAAAACAATCATGAGGAACTCAGAAGCTTAAAATCTGACGGAAGACAAAAATTGGATGCACGTGCACCATTGCAAACAATTTTAAGCCACATCATTTAGGATCTCTAGCGACTGATCACGACAGTTACACGGAGCTCAAACAGACAGTCTACACCTTTTAATTTAACTCAGTCCAATTATCAATAACTTCATGGACTGGTTTCATGTTCTGGTTAGATTGCCCCTACATATCTTACAGCCTACTACTACAACAGATAACATAACCCGTCAAAGTACGAGGTGGTTGGATATACGTAACACATATGCCAACCACCTTAGTTGATGAAGATTTACTACTTCATCTATCGATTTACCATCTTTTCCCAGTGCTCTATTCCTAACCCAGGCAGTCCCGAAACACAGAAGTAATGCTTCGTAGACACCTGTGTTCAAGTACTGGTAACCCACGAATATTTTCTTCTCTATTATTTATTTATTTAAACATAAATATTGGTACAAGGAAGCACCAGATACATATGCGCCTCACAAATCTCATTTGATTTGTGTGAGGGCTGTGATACTGCCCAGGTACCTAGACTGAAGAAGGTGGTTTTCTTAGGGGACCACACCCCGAGCCTTTGACCTGAAGGTCTGAACCACAGAGCAGTGGAGCATCGTGAGGAGATGCAGTCACATGGTAGCCAGTGACCAGCGATTGGTTCGTACGCCATTTGTTCCTTCAGGATACTGGAGCCCATGTGCACCATTGGTTTGGAATCAGGGCTTTCCAACTCCTCTAGGTGAACTTTGCATGTCCACCAACCCGGTTAAAGCGCCGGACATTGGCTTTTCGTCCTCTCAATTTCGTAGACAACACCGGGGCCACAAGGTGGCAGTGAGTACGACTTGCGTGGCAGAGGCTATATTACTCATGACCGTGTGAGAGCATTTGGAGAGGTAGAGCGGACTCTAACCACTGTCGGCCGTACCAGGGCATTTGGGAGCTCGTCCATTCATTGGCAAACGAAAATCTTATCTACGCCACAAGCGGTGCAAGTTTGTAAAAGCCAGTCGAGCTTTTCGAATCCGTGCTGAGATTTCGTTAGACACCAGATCATTAGCACTGATGAGACATCCAAGACAAGTAGAGCGGTTAATGCGTCCAACCATTCCATTCTTTATCGTAAATTCTGGCGCTGATGCAAGCCAATCCTGGGGCAAATTTTCGCACTTGCAGGGGGAAAACCGCACCTGAAACATGGTTGTATTGTTGCTCAAGGTGGTCAGAAGACTGGGTTTTATCAGCGTCTTCACCAGAGAGAACTATCTGAGTACTCGAAGTCAACAAGAGAATCCTATGGCAGATCAACCCGTTAAAATTCTGACGATGAGGAAGTTACTTCTGTTTATGAATCTCGGTAGTATCTTTGGTTTAATACTAAAAGTGTGGTGCATATCCTCAGTCAGTCAGTCAGCTACAACGTAGGACCAGGCACATTTATGCATCGGTTGAAGTTGCCATACCTCGTTAGCACAACAAGATGAACACCGGATTCATAGAAGTAATTAATTTAGTGGTGGTAGTATATAAAGAAAGTTATGAAGCAATTTTAATCTCAAGGTTTAAGGGAAGATAAAGAGTGTATACACCTACGCCATTGTGATCGATTCTGAGCCATGTCACCCAGAGTCTCCAACCATTGCTTACGATAGTCAAGCGGACCCCAACCAAGTAGTCTGCATCTACCAACATGGCTCAGACTAGAAGTTAGTGACTTCAAGCACTGATGCCATGTTTTGGTTTGGCCGCCCCTAACTCTCTTCCAACCATCCCCTACACTAGTCAACATTGCGCGTCGTGGTAATCGGTGTTCAGGCATACGTAACACGTGGCCCAACCATCTCAGTCGATGAAGATTCATCACCTCATCAACTGATTTACCATCATTCTCTAATACCCTGCGTCTAACCTCACTATTACTTACCCAGTTATCCAAGCAGATGCGAGCAATATTTCTAAGGCATCTGTGGTCAAATACTATTAACCTACGAGTATCTTCTACTCTAAATGGCCACGTTTCACAGCCGTATAATAGAACAGAGCGAACTGCTGCGCAGTATACTCGTCCTTTAATCGATAGACGGATATCTCATCTTCGCCATAGGTGACGTAAGTTGGCAAAAGTCAAACGAGCTTTTTGAATCCGTGCTGAGATTTCGTCAGACACTAACCCATTAGAGCTGATCAGACTTCCAAGATAAGTGAAGTTGTCCACGCGTTCGACTACTTCACTCCCTATCCTTAGATCAGGTGTTGACGCAGGCGAGTCCTGGAATAACAATTTACATTTGGATGGGGAGAAACGCATCCCAAACATCCTGGCATTATTACTCAGTTCTAACAGAAGAATCTGCATTTTGTCAGTGTCTTCACCAAACAGGACTATGTCATCTGCGTATTCTAAGTCGATAAGTGAACTTCCTGGTAGAAGATCAACTCCTGAAAATTCAGTCGATGAGTGTTATTTCCAGCAACAGGTCTATAATGAAGTTAAACAAAAGTGGGGATAGTGGACAGCCTTGACGGACACCACTTGAGGTTGTAAAATCAGATGACAGTTCGCCATAAGCTCTCACTCGACTGGTAGTGTTCGAGCAAAGAGCCTTCACAAGGTTTATGTACTTCTCAGGTATACCTTTTAATGACAGACACTGCCACAGAACCTCTCGGTCTACAAAGTCAAATGATGCTTTCAAGTCAAGAAAAACTATCATTGTAGGACGCCGACAAACGTGTCTGTGCTCTAAAACTTGACGAATGGTGAATATGTGGTCGATACAGCCACGACCAGGTCTGAAGTTAGCCTGATTTTCTCGTGTTTGCAGTTCACGATTCTTAGTTAGGCGCCCGATAATTATTGAGGCTAGTATTTTAGATACTATGTTAGTCAGACTAATCCCTCTATGGTTATCACAGGATGATTTTGGCCCCTTCTTATATATTGGGACAATCAGAGATTGTGACCAGCCAGATGGGATTACATCCAACTCCCAGATTTTAGCCAGAATATTAGTCAACCTAATCGCTAAAATCGGACCACCATATTTAAAGACCTCTGGAGCCAATCCATCTGGACCAGCTGCTCTTCCTCGTTTCAGATTACTTATAGCCTTTTGAACTTCAAGTAGGGTCAGGGGGCCTACTTCAATGTTCCATTCAGGTTTTCTAGGAATAGTGGGTAGTTGTGCAGTAGCTGAAGGCCAGCTAAACTGCTCCTTAAAGTGTTCCGCCCATCGTTCTAAACGTTTGGGTTGAGAGCAGATAAGGGTTCCGTCTTTTTCCGAGATTGTCTCACTTACACTTGACTTCTTAATTCCGGTTTCTTTTATTAGTCTGAATAGTTGCCTGACGTTGCCTGCAGCCGCTGCCTTTTCCATCTCTTTTGCTTTCGTTGCCCACCACTGCTCACGATCGTTCCTTGGACTTTTAGTTAACCTAGATCTAATTTCTTTACGCTCTTCGTCGTGTTCAGAGCCTGAAGGGATGAGTTTACGCGAATCCATCAGTGAAATAGACCTAGAAGAAATCCACTGGTTTTTTGGAACCCTATGGTTTAAATAACTAATAGATGTTACTGATGTTTCCACAGCTGTTCGTATGTCTTTCCAAGCAGCATCTGGGTCAGTCTCGTTTACAGAACTGCCTAGATGTGAACTCAGTTGTTTCTGGAATTCGCACTTGGCTTTCTCGTCCTCCAGTTCAATCCTAATGGGTCTTCTTAGTGTACTTTTCCTTATTTATTTATTTATTTATTTATTTATTTATTTATTTAAACACATATATATTGGTACAAAAGGGCACCAGGTACATATGCGCCACACAAAATAATGAAAGTAGGTAGATAAAGGATGAAAAGATAAGGCGGGCTGAAATGTACAACCAGAAGATTCTTTCAGTTAGGAAAGTTAGAACCATTCTTTATGTAGAAAGTAAAAGAAGGTTGCAGCAGGATCGCCACTGGCTTCTATTCTGAGCCATATCCGATAACGTCTCTAGCCACTGTGTTTCACTATCTCTCGGACCCCAACCAGGGAGTCGTGAAGGACCAACGGAAGCTAGCCCTTTGCAGCTCTCTTTCATGCCACGACACCATGTCATACACTGACCTCCTCTCCGCTTTCTCCAACCAGTCCCAGGGTCGGCAAATAATGCACGACGCGGAAGTCTCTGGGACGACATTCGTAAAACATGTCCGAGCCACCGAAGTCGGTGTTTCAAGATGGTGACACCAATTGAATTATCGTCTCTGCGCC